TATCGTTTACATTTGGCACGTGTAGAACTATTTTTTTTTTTTTATCTTTTTCTTTTCCTTTTTCTCTTGTCGTTGAAGTGACGTATAATCGACCGAACAACAAGCAGTCATCATAATTCCTTGAAAAAATAAGAATAAAAAAAAATGGAATAAAATTTTTTCCTTGGAGATTTCGTTTCTTTCGAAATTTTCGAGTTCGATTATGAAATCGATTATATTGATTAATTATTTTCCAATGAATTGAAATCGATAGGAAGTTATTCATGGTTAAAAGATAAGAAAAAATTAAATGTGAATTTTATAAATCATCGATTACATAATATCTTAATTACATATATATATTCGTAACTCGAATTTTTTCAAAAACGTGGAATTACTTTGATAAAATTTTACTCTTCGTTTTCTATTTATTTTTACTTTCATTCGTAGAATAACTTTTCATCACGATAATTCATATCCAATCGGAAATTAACCAATTTCATTTCCGCTTAAAAATATTTTAATAAAAGCTATAGACGAAAAAATTTTATAAGTTTTACTTATTCTAATTTTTTCATTTTCAATTCATATCGGCTTGAACGTGTTATTCAGCCTGCATGTAACCAGCCATATATAATAAACGAGCATATGTAATCGTCGACGAGGTAGCGGCACTGGCACTGTTATGATTATCGAGAAATGACGTCACAATAAATATGCATTCTGTTTCGTAGGCTATGAGAATGCTCGGCGGACGTGCACCTCGAATGAAAACTCATACGGATTGTATGTCATCGCGGACGATGATTAAACTTCCCGGCTTGATCGATATTCACGTACACACACGTGATCCAGGCGCAGTTTACAAAGAAGATTTCGCTTCTTGTACGGCCGCTGCTCTTGCCGGAGGTATCACCATGATCTTTGCTATGCCCAACACGAATCCTGCTGTCGTCGATCATCAATCATTCGCTCTGGCCAAAGAAGTAAGAAGAAAAAAAAAAATCGTTTTTCTGCTGAGTAAAAAAAAAAACAAAAAAAAAAAAAAATTCTTGCAAGTTTAATAACGAGATTCGCCCCTCTTTTTTTCTTTTTCAGCGCGCCCTTTCAAACGCTAGATGCGATTATGCAATTTATGTCGGCGCTTCGTCTGATAATCACAACATAACGGCCGAATTAGCGCCCCTAGCGGCGGGTCTTAAAATGTATCTCAACGAGACTTTCACAACACTTCGATTGTCCGATCTTACCGTGTGGATCAAGGTAAAATTATTGAAACGAGAATAATATATATATATTCGTTTTTCGTTTAATCGAAATGTTAATTTAATTTATTTATTCTTCTCAGCATTTCCAAAGTTGGCCAAAGAAATATCCCCTATGCGTTCACGCCGAGGGTCAAACAACTGCAGCGATTCTCTTGCTGGCTGGGTTGCATAATAGGCCTATTCACGTCTGCCATGTAGCACGAAAGGAAGAGATTCAAATAATACGCGCGGCTAAGGAGAAAGTATGCTTATTACGTTGTCATTATGCATTTACAAATGATCCAATCTCTATTTCTATCTCTATTACGATAATGATTTCACATTTTGTATATCACATTGTATATCATTTTGTATATTTGGTTGGCAGGGAATGGCCGTCACTTGCGAAGTGTGTCCGCATCACTTGTTCCTGTGCGTGGATGATCTTGAACGGATAGGACCTGGCCGAGGCCAAGTGAGGCCATTGTTGGGAACCAAGGAAGATCAACAAGCTCTTTGGAATAATTTAAATATAATCGATTGCTTCGCTACGGATCATGGTTAGTTTTATTCTACTTCCTCTTTCAAACTTAATTTAAATAAAAATAAAAATACGTGTCTTTGTTTGTTTCAAGCACCCCACACGTTGCAAGAAAAATCGAGCGAGAAACCACCACCTGGATTCCCCGGCCTCGAAACTATGCTCCCACTTTTGTTGACTGCGGTTCACGAAGGAAAATTAACGATAGAAGTAATTATAATATACTTATGAAATTAACGATAATTTAAGATCCCGATCGAGATATCGTATAATATCGTATAAAAACATTCCTTTTCGATATATCATTGTGGTGAGATAATTGATTCGTATCTTGTTCGACTAGATTTTTTTTTTATCAGCATTTTGAGCATAGAAAGAAATTTTACTTCTTTTTTTTTCTCTCTCTCTCTGTCTCTCTTTTCTTCTAGGACATTATAGACAAACTCTACAGAAATCCGAAAAAGATCTTTAACGTGCCAGATCAATCAAACACCTACATCGAAGTGGATCTCGACGATGAGTGGACGATTCCTGAAGCGATGCCTTTCAGCAAATCAAAATGGACGCCTTTCGCCGGAATGAAAGTTCGTGGTTCCGTTCATCGTGTAGTGCTTAGAGGAGAAGTTGCCTACGTTGAGGGGCAAGTTCTGGTGAATCCTGGCTTTGGCCAAGATATTAGAGAGATTCAATCGAAAATGAAAGTTCAAACAATTGTAAACGCGCCGGTCATTGACGTAACCACTAGTCGACCAAACTCGGCATTGGATGGCCTTTTGTCGCCAAACTACGAAAAGTACAACAATTATATCGAGCGGATAACGGATATGTCGGAAGAAGATCAAAACGGTATGAAAATCTATTTCCGATCGAGAAAACACGAGCCATTTTTTATTAAAATAACGATTTTAATAAATAATAAAATATTAATTATATTAATAATAATTAATAATATTAATAATAAAATAACGATTTTATTCATCGTTTCCAGAATCGTACGCGCATCTGTTGCAAACAGTGGCGCACAAATCGAACGTTCACTTCGCCTTGGATGTAGATACGCGCGAACATTCGAAACTTTTAACAAGTCAACAACGCACGATCTCACCCCTTCCCATAAGCAATGCGACAAAACACAAAAGCGACAGCAATCCCAATCTTCTGTTGACCTCGGTCCCACCAATCACGCCGGTCCACATTTGTCACAATCTAGTCGGACATAACATTTTGACAGTGGATATTTTCAACAAAGACATGTTAAAAGATATATTTAACCTTGCGGAAATTCTTCGCAGCGCTGTTAGAAAGGAACGACTGTTGGATCATATTTTACGGGTAAGAACGTATATATTCCATTTTCACGATTAATTTCAATTTTCACTATGTTGATTTTGCGCATGTAGGGAAAGTTGCTGGCGACGATCTTTTACGAGGTTAGCACGAGAACGTCTTGCAGTTTTGCGGCTGCCATGCAACGACTTGGAGGAAGTGTGATATACATGGACGGTACAACATCGTCGGTAAAAAAGGGAGAAACTTTGGAAGGTTTGCAACATTATACGAATAAGTAATTGAACGCAATCAAAACTTAACTTAACGAACGAATCTTTTACAGATTCGGTAATAATGATGGCTGGCTACGCGGATGTAGTGGTGCTCCGACATCCCGAGTCTACTGCCATTGCGGTAAATGTTTTTAATTTTTTATTTTTGCTGTAATGCGAAAATATTTAAAAATATAAATATATTATTTGCTGTAAATGATTCGTGTTCAGAGAGCTGCCCAACACTGTAGAAAACCTTTACTGAACGCCGGTGATGGCATTGGAGAACACCCGACTCAAGCGTTACTCGATATTTTCACGATAAGAGACGAGATCGGTACGGTGAATGGGTTGACAATCACCATGGTTGGGGACTTGAAACATGGCAGAACGGTCCATTCTCTCGCAAGGTCAGGAATTATTTGCGTGTAATTTTAAGAATCTATAATTAATCGACTTAGAGCTGCTATTAAATATTCGTTTCGCGTTACAGATTATTGACTCTGTACAACGTTGAACTTCGTTACGTGTGCCCATCTGGCCTTGGTATGCCTGACCATGTTGTCAAGTACGTGTCCGATCATGGAATACGTCAGGACAATTTTACTACACTCGAAGAAGCTCTTCCCGACACTGATGTTCTTTACATGACACGCATTCAAGAAGAACGTTTCGCCTCTCAAGAGGAGTATAAAAAAGTATAAGCCGTCAATATGGTTATAAATTCTCTTCGATATCTGACATTGAATATTGCAGGCTTACGATAGGCTTTGATTTTAAAATTTGTTCTTAACGTGATAATTGCGATATACGTTATACGATCTTGAAATTTTATTATCAAGATAAATGTTATGTATTTAGAATGAGATATGAAAAAAAAATCACGAAATCGTAAGCAGATAGGCATTTTTTTCATTTCGAAAAGTTACATCATAAAATCTTCGATAAAAATTCATATCACATTAATTAAATGTACAATGTATAACAGGATATTCGTATATTTACAGGTTTGCGGACATTTTATAATAACTCCACAGTTAATGTCTCGAGCCAAAAGAAAAATGGTAGTGATGCATCCCTTGCCACGAGTATTCGAGATCAGTACAGAATTTGACACGGATCCACGTGCTGCTTACTTTCGACAAGCCGAAAACGGTGTCTACGTTCGAATGGCACTTTTGGCAATGGTTCTTGGACGTGCGTGACATATTCGAAAATAAGGAATAAGATTGATCAAAATCAAGATTAGCTTGATTTTAAATGTATTATCAATAACATATAAAAAAGACAAAATATTTCCAATTGCATTTCCAATTAACTGAGATAACGATATTATTTATCAAAGGAATAAATATCCTCAAATGACATCTTCAAAAATAGAAATAGCTAAATGATAAGCAAAAATATTTTGGCCAACGCGAGTTGGCAAAAATATTAAATTCGTCCAAATTATAATGGAAAAAAAAAAAACGGTATTTTATTAATGCCTGCGTAATTTGATAAGAGTATATTTTGATAATTTTTTATCTTTGTGTAATATATTTACAAAAAGAATGAAATTTATCACCGATTCCCCCATATTTCCATATATTATTGTACACAGATGGATAAAACCTTATATTTTGTAATAAAATCTTTTATTTTTGACAATACATTTATTTACAATTTTCTTTCGTATGTACACGTATAATATACGTATAAGTAAATACTTGTTTAGAATTAATATACAATTACACATTAAATGGTAAATGTGTATATCGTATATTCGCATATCATAATAAGCGAATATATTCGCTTTTAACATTAGCATTTCTTTCATACTTTTATCAGTTTAATCATCATTTAGTCGAATCATTAGTAATAAGATGATTAAAACATCGATGTTTCATCGTTTATCAATTGTTATAAGGTCGAAAGAATAAGTAGACCTCAAAAGAATAGATGATATTGTATAAATGAAAATACTCGTATTCAACTCGATTCGATTTGATTCGATTTGATTCGATTCAATTCGTTTCGTAGAAAACTTGCCTTTACGTACATACTCTACATAACAGATTTGCATTCGAGTATGCGATCGCATTCTTTCATCTTTATTTTATCTCTCTTGAAGATTGAATAATTGAGTTAATAATATCTATACATATATTCGATTATTTGAGCAATTATTAAAATTTAGATTCGTATCGTTGACTTTCAATCCTTTTAAAATTATTATTTAAATTATTATTACTTAAATTTCTATGTTCATTTTTAAAAGCAATCGCAATATGCGATCGATACGATCGAGAGAGTTGATAACTAAGATATAAATAAAAACATGAAAATCACAGTTACGCGAACGATATTGAGTTGAACAACTTTGTGAAAGATAGGTTATTCGCAAAATTTGATTCACGTCATTTATCCAAACACGATAAGTCCACTCGATCTATGTTGGATTAACACAATTTTCGGTGTAACGTATTTCTTCTGTTCATTTTTTAATTTTTCATCGAACTGTACTTATAACGACTTTCTTCCTGTTTAACGAAGAAATTGAACCGGTGGCATTTCGTTCCTTATGCGCGTTGAAAATCGATGTATCGCAAAAGATGTCAGACTATAACATCACGTGTTCGAAAGCCAGCGTCGCTAGCACCGTTTGGACACATATCCGATGCCAAGGATTTCGCGTCCTCCTTTTGATTTTTTCTCATTCGAGACAACGGTGGCATTTTCAATTTCAATTTCTTTTTCTTTAAAACATCCTTCTTTCTAAAATGGCAATAAAAATTAAATTACGAATCGATCATCTGTTTCCTCTCTTTCTTGAAAAAAATTTCCCAAAAGGGAAACGAATTACGTACTGATGTTTGCAATCGATAAATATTCCCATTGAGAATAATATCACTATAGCTATGATGATACCGATCACGACTACCACCAGCGTTACTATCGCGTCCTCTTCTTCGGGAGTAAAGGGTTCCTCTGTCGTTGACCACGACACTTCTCCTGTCCAACATATAAAAAAATACATGATATAATAACGACAAATGTGTCCATACAAATTTAAAAACAATGGAATCTTTCGCCTCTCGAAAAATTTTTTACACACATTCTTGCTTATTTCCTAACAGCTTATATAAATTTCCGGTCAATGACCAAACGATATTGCAAGGTTTGATCTCTTGCAACATTCAACTACTGAAAAAGCATAGTCTTGCATATTTAAATTTCACGCGATATATACAGGTTTGGACATATCGGAAGGGAGGACGAAAGATTTAATAATTCGACGCGATTGACGTCATCCCATAGCTTCCGTTCTTCGTAAGAAGTTGCGGATGACGTCTTTTCGAGCACGTACGCCACCCTGATCAGATTCGACCGGCCAGACGAAACAGGAAATGAAAGGGTCTGAAACTGTTTGCTGGAATGCAATCACTGAAACTGGCGAACGAAAAACGTCTTATGTACTTATTCGAAAGCATCATTATCGCATACACGCTGTGTACTCGTGAAAGTCCGTTGTATCAAAAGTTGGTCGGCAGTTTTGGAATAACGCATTAACGGTACATGTTCGCGATACGAGTACTATCGTGTTAGATTCAGTAAATCATCGAAGCTAAAACTTGTTCTGGTAGGATTAAACATAACAGGAAAGATTGTACACGCTTGATGAAATATCACTGTTTGTTCCAGTATCGTAAAAATTCACGAAGAAAATCTATTTTCTATGGACTTTTTAAATTACGATATTTGATGCATCGAAGAAGAAATTGAAAGTCTTTTATCATTGATTCAAGTATTTAGAAACTTTCAATTGTTTGAATCAAATATATGCATTATTCAGGAATGAATAATTTTAAAATTATAATTTTATCTTGAAAAGATAGAATCTTTTATGTTCAATTTATGATAGAATAAATTGAAAGTAATATTTTCAGTTGAAAATGAAAATTTATATATTTAACGCCCATTGATTAATACGAGGGGCGTTAGATGCATTGGTATCAGCTCTATACCGATAAATTTGTACGTAAAAAATGATATGTTATTAATAATCTATAATCTATTTTAGATTTTATTCTTAATATTTTGTGGAAAGGATATTATCTTAATTTCATGAAAACGACTTTTCAATGAACATATAAAGGAAATATTTTTGTAGGTTACCAAGAAATTTTATCACATTTGCGCAATTGCTTTTAATTTCTACTTCATAATAAAACAACAAATCACACTGATAATATTGAATGATAAATATCGCAATAAGTAGTCATGTAACCAGATCCAACATAACTGTTATTACAATCGTGTGATCACGACAGGTTAGCAGAGTATAACAATAAGTCTTTATCGATGCCTGTACGTACCAGTACCAGTGTATACCTATCCTTTCCTCTGGTGTCGCGATTTGTTTGTTATAAGCAAATACTTGTTTTCATTCAATAACTTGATTACCTTCTCCTCTTTTATAACGTCAGTATACATAAATCAAATTTTTTTTTATTTAAAATCCCACCAGATATATTTGAAATAGAACATGTCTCAATTTATATCAAATTCAAATTCAACATTCTCAGAATAAAGTTTGATCTCATGATATTATTAATATTATGTTACAGTTACAAGAATAAGTAGAAAAACCGGAATAATTTTTTCTATACGTTTCGTCCCTTATACAATCCCTTATACAAACTATCTAGGTATGTGTATAGGCAACGAGAGAAAAGCAACGTTCACGTTTTGCCACCTGTTGCGTTTCATATAGGATGTAAGATTTAGTCTCAATTTTAGATGAATTTAGCGAGAAAATAGAAAAGAAGGGAAGTTATCAATCGTTTCATTTTAAACGAGCCATTTTGTAATAAAATTTTGTTAACCAAATTTTGATATAAAAATAATAATAAGTCTACATCGAATTAATAACAATTACCTTTGGTCGATAACGCATTTCCAAGACTGTCATTGACATTCCTGGCGTGCACCCCCATATCAACGATGAATCTTTTCTTCTTACTTCACTTTATTTGCAAAGAAGCGTTCGGAATCGTCCACGAATTGACCGGTTCGAAATCACGAAGTAAACTGTCCGCCACATGCCTCGAGTCAAGTGATACGCTTGGTGAGGCCTCTACGAGGCAAACGGAAACCGCAAGCGTGCAATGAAGACCGACAATAATGAGCCAACAAGAAGAAGAAAGAAAGGCTAGCTACGCTTCGTGGATTGCGGGAAGAGAAAGGAGGGGCAGAGAGGAAAGAGAAACCTCACGGTCTCCGTCTGAGATTCCATGAGGATCAACATATAACTTCCATTCACCGTTCGTGATTCACGTACAATCTGGCATGTACAATTAACCTCGCTTGATAATCATTTCTTTTAAACTCTCCTTTACCTTTAGTAGTTTTTATGTCTTTTAACGTGGAACTAATTATTAAAACAATAAGAAATCTTGTAACAATTAATTTATTACTTCTCGTTTACTTTTACGTGATAATACATTAATATTAAATGTTAATTATTAATTTAATAGAATAAAGAATTTTTAGTTCTTAAGGCAAAAGTTTTTAACTAATTTTGCCATTTTAGAGATTATATGCAGAATGTCAAATAAATAATTTAGGAAAAGATGAATCATAATGAAGAAATAAGAAAAAAAATCAAGAACATAATTTTCTCTATTGAGTCTTTGCTTTAAAATAAATCAAGTCCAACAAATTTTCAACAAATGAAAGTGATTAATTCCGATTAGATATGAGTTTCCCTTTTGATGAGTAAATCATTAAAAAGAAGTAATTATATATGTGAAAATATATAATAATGTATAGAAAATATAGAATAAATTTTTTTCATATAGAAATTAATTTAAAAAAAATTGAATTTGACAATTTGCCAATTATATGATTTTTTTTTTAATATATATTTAATTTCAATTTTCATAAAAACAAGAACTTGAGTGATAAAATTTTACTATTTTTCGATTGTATTATCAATGTGGATATCCTGCATTTTGAAAACAGAGAAAAAGAAAATTATATTAATTTATAGCAATACTTCTCTTAATTCTAAGAATTTATAAAAATATGAATAAAAGATATTGTGTTATTTCTTTATATTATATGTTCCTTTTTTTTTTCCCATTCATTTCCACATATAAGATATTTCACTTGATACTATTCACGAATTATATCTCTATTATTGTATATAGCGAAAAATGATAAAATATCAAATAAAATTTAAATAATTTAGTAAAAAGAATATATATGAATTTATATTCTCGTATTATTTAGAAATGGATATATAAAAAAATCAGTGGAAGTTAATTTCATTCTTTCAAAATTAAAATTATATCTTTTTAACAGATTAATTAATGCAACTCTTCATATTTCATAAAAAAATGCTATTCTACTAAAACTTCCTTTTTAATTTAACAGATATTTATTTTTGTACAATTGCATTGTTGCTGAAATTTTTACTTTATATTAAAAAAATATAAATTGATAGGAAATTGTTCGAGAAATTTTTTAAGAATTTTGGATAATTCTTGGAAATGAAATTCTCGGAATAATAAAAATTTTGGGAATTTTTCAAATGATCAAATGAATAAAACTTTTGGCCGAAAATTTGATTTTGTATTAGAAGAACATAACTTGACAAAAAGTCGCTCGCAAAATTTTTCCAAGAATTATAACAGTTCTTGGAAAAAACGTCAAATTCTTAGAATTTCTAGAAATACATTAAACACGTTAAACAATTACTATAAGTTAGTACAAACAAAATATATCTAGATGAATTCATAATTAAAAATATGTAATTTTAATTATTATGTAATATGTATTTATATGTAATATATAAAAATGTAAATAATATACAATAAAATGCTATTATTCAACAAATCAATGAATTTTTTATTTAAAACACCTTTATTCCTACATTCCCTCCAATCTCTTAGATTTAAGTAAATTACTAAAAAATGATTCCAGAAAATATTAGAATTTCTAAGGTAAGTATGTCAGTAAAGGTAAGTAAAGAAAAATATAAGGTAAGTATAAATTTCCTTTTTCAATTATATTTATCTAATAAAAAGTGAAAAATTTAAATAACTTTTGTATTATATGAATATCAATTGGAAGAAGCATGAGAAATTTTTGGAAATGACGTCAAATTCCTAGAATTTTTAAAATTCCAGGAACTGATGATCAATTCTTGGAAATTTCCTACTGAATTTCAAAGGAACGAAATATTTGTCTAAAAATACAATTTTGTATTAGGAGAACATGACATGATAGGAAGTCGATCGAAAAATTTTTCCAAGAAATGACGTAAAATTCTCGGAATCGCCAAAATTCTTGGAATTGACGTCAAATTCTTAGAATTCTTAAAATTCCTGGAACTGGCGACCAATTCTTGGAAATTTCGAACGCACGAAACTTTTGGCTAAAAATTCGACTTTGT